GGCTCAGCCATGACTTCTTCCTCCTTGACAGGCTCAGCCATGACTTCGTCCTCCTTGACAGGCTCAGCCATGACTTCCTCATGGACAGGCTCAGCACTGACGTTAATCTCCTCTTCAATCTCCATGCTGAAACTCTGAGAGCCAGCGACCTCCATGGACTCTGCCTTTGTCTCCACCTTCGCAGCTGAGACATCACCAGACAGCACAGTGGACTTTTCAGCATGTTGTCCAAGTTGATCCTGCCCACCAGTCTCAGAGTTGCCATCCAACTCTGAATCCGCTGGAGGTGCCATTTGTTTAGACTCATGTACATCAGCAGCACGAGATTCAGTTGGAGCTTGAGGATCATCCAGTCGTACATCAGGACCACAATCAGAAGGAGCTTCACCAACAGGAGCTTGTGAATACAGAGGCTCCACAGGTTGAGGATCAGGTTCTTGAGTGAGATCACCACCAGGTCGATCACCGATCGCAGGTACATCGACAGACTCAGAGGCAGGTGCTTTTATCAAGCCTTAGAAATAAATTGAGCAGCAAACAAAAAAACAAAGCACACATGCATGCACACGCAAACATACATGTGAGATCCTTGTGGTTGTCAAAAACACCCCAGAGACCCAAACATACAAGGCGTATATAATGAATACAAAACACTTGCGTCATCAAAGTAGTTGGCCAATGACTTGCGTAAACCTTTGCCCGACTGTTCATCTTCAGGAGGAACAGCTGCTTCCAATGAAGTCTGCAGAAGTTCAACGCATGGTGAAGCATGATACTCCTGAGTATCTTCCTGGTCTGTAGCAGCAGCAGCTTGCTTGACAGCCCGGGCAGCAAGAATTTTCCTAACTTGCCAGGAATTGACACAGGTGAAAACACAAGGCTCCTTACATAACAAAAAAAACACAGCAACAATGTACATAAATCATAACCATAGTTGCTTCAAATTTCCAATCCTTCGTTCAATCTCCTGTTTGGTCATCGAGTTGGCTGCAAATCCCTTGCTGGAGCAATCAGCTGTTTCATTCTTTGGCTCGGCCTTGATGTAAACAGCTGGGTGCTGGTGCTCCACAAAGCCTTGAGAAGATGACTTCTCTTGAGACGACAACTCATCAGCAGAAGAGTAATTCATCTCCGTTGGCACATCACTTGGTGACTCCTTTTTGATGGGACTCTCAATCTCTTTGGGCTCCTCCTCCTGGACCTTGACAGGGGCCTCGACCTCTACAGCAGCAGTCTCACAGGGCTCTGTCTTGTGTTTGCCAGGTGGTGATGTGAAAATTGGAGAGTCCATCATGTAAGGATTGTGTTTAAGTTGAAGAACTTCCACCAGATCATCCTCAGCATCAGAGTCCATGATCTCCACGAATTCTGAAGGCTGCGTCTCATCCAATGTAGGCGGAGGGCCCCCAGGCATCTGCAAGCGAACATGCCAGAACTCGAAGAGCATTTCATAGAAAGGATTCACTCCAATCTCCTAGTTTGAAGCACGGCCAAAAGCAAAAAGAAAGGATACACACAACACATCCACACGCACACAGGCACATATTGATTGTACATGAGACACATGAAACATAGAATGGACCCAGTTAGGAATATAAAGGCTGTTGCATATCCACCCCCAAAGCAAACATGTATTATACAAGGAACATGTTGTTTTGTTATGCAAGGCTGAGGCTCTCTTCTCACCGGGCTCCCACTGGACACTTTGTCACATCCTGACTTCCTGCACCCGTATGTGAACAGTTTCTTGAGTGCCCAGGCATCCATATGCACTTGCCCACCATCCTTTGGCAACGCAACCAAGCACCGAAGGTTGTAAACCTTTCAGGGCAGAAAGCAAATTGAAATATAGTCAGTCCCTTCAAGCTAGTATGTTCGCTCCCTTCAATTGATATTTGAGAGGTGCATGAATGATCATGCATAAGAAACAGAGTAAATATAGAGTCATAGTGCTTTGAGAACGGGCAGGCCTCCTTCTTGAGCATTCGCACAGACGGGGACTTAGGAGAGGTCTGCTGTGGGCACCAGTACTCAGCAAGTATACGAAGTGCATGGCAGTTCATGGCAATGCCAGTCATTGTGGGATGGCCAATGAGCTCTTTGGACGGCCAAATGCACAGGACTCCTGCATTGTCATTGTCCCGTAGCCGCTCCCTAATGTGCACACAATCTTCCCACATAGCAGCCAAAGTCTTTGGCTTTGCTGCTGCATTCTCCACCACTGCAACTGAACCGCACGACATGACAGCAAGAGGTTTGCAAGTTCAGTGCTGCAAAGCAAATAAGAATATGGTTTGCTTCTGAGATGCTTTTGCATGTGTGAGTCTAAAGGCATATCAAGAAAAAATTGCCAGAGCAGGATAGAGCTGCACTGAGCCAGGCAGTACAAAGGATTCACAAAAACAAGAACATCTTTAAAAACAAACAAACCAACAAACTGGCCAGCAGTGCTGAAACTGCAGGTCCATCTCGTTCAGAGGTCGATTTGTGCGGCCTGAACCTGCAGGAGCAGTGTCAAAAGGGAATTGAATGATCCCATAATGGAATATATACCATATACAAATGAATATACAAACTATAAGTGCATGCAATGCATGATCTTTTTTGGACTCCCAACCTCTGCACCGTAGAAGTCAGTCTCGCCCACCATTGCAGGGCAACAGAGGTCATGTACAACCCACAAAAACATATGCATGCTTATACTTTGACATTGGCAACCACAGCCAGTTGACATTGTTGCGAGATGCACAAATGGACTCTTAGAAAATGACATAAGATCAGTGGCTGGCTTTACACGCCAACTCTTGTCATGCCAATTCTTGCCAGCTTCACGGTCCTGATTGGTCCAGAAAAAGCTCTTGCAGACATCACCCTGCACCAAAAAAACGCCTGCAAAGAGCACCTTAAAAGTATAAAATGATCATTGCCAACACATCTAGGATCCTGTTGGCCACCTTCGTGCTCCATGATTCAATCTACAAATTGTTCTTCAAAACCATTCACCTCATGACCATTCCTTTGGAATACTGTGTCATTCTGTCAGAAAAACAAGTTCAGCCCCTTGCAAGAAATCCAGACCCTGGAAAGGCAGAGGCGGTTTTTGCCAAAAGTACTGAAATAATGCATACCTCAGAAGACCTAGGTATATATATATGTGCCCATGCATAATATATATTGATTTTATATTATTATTTAGTATTATGCCTACTGCCTACACTCATTGACCCTGTTTCAATCACCCCGATTGATCCAAAAACATGCTGTTCGTCCCATTGAGTGCTAGTGCTACACTGTCAAGCCTAAGTGGTCTTCCTCCCCACGCAACGTGTCGCGAGGAGTGCGAAGAGAAACTGCAGCTGTTGCAAGACATGGGCCATGCGCTTGGTACATCAAGGGGGTTCGAGTTCGATGCGCTCTCTCTCGAGAGGTCTCGACCTCTTTGCGGCGTTCCGTGTGGGTCGGAAAAGAGACCACGTTCCGGCACCCATGAAAAGACAGTTTAAAGTCATGGATCTTTGGAGGTTTTCCCGATTTCCCCTCAAGATACAAACTCCTAAATGTTACTCGGCTAAGTTTCTGGATGGAGAGGGGCGAAACGGGGGAAACTTGCCTGAACTGAACTTGGAAAGTCGAGTACGGCAACCCAATGACCGCACACACGGAATGAACACCCGACAGACAACATGGTTCTAATCGAAACGGGGTCGTAAGCTTTCCAGAGCACAAGAGGAAGATAACCCTTCACTGCAAACTTCGTAGATTTGAAAGAACTTCATGCATGAGTATACTTGAATTATTGAACTTCGACCAGGCAGAGAAGTCCCTGTTTGCCCATCGCAGGGCGAATCAAGAAGGGTTCGAGAACGGAGTGGAATCCATGTGCCATGTGCCACCGTCCAACGACGCCCATCCGGGCGATCGAGTCGTTCGTCCATTTTTTAGGGATCCAGTCGTACCGAACCTCAGAAGGCACGACGGGATCCAGACTGGATCCCTTCGGTTCTTAAGACAAAGAGCAGAGAAAGACCTCGGCGATGTGGAACCATTCTTCGAAGATTTCGGATCTGAAGACCATGAGTAACCACGGACCTCCAGGCGGCTGCCGCTTCCTGAACAGGCGGAGAGGGGATGACTCTAACAGAGCAGGGAGGGAGGGCAGATGAGGGCAGTCTACGAAGGGATGTCCAAAATGGCAGTCTTGGGAGTCCGAAGTGGCTGGGGTTTGCTAAGTGATATGATGTTCCTGAGAAACGGCCAGCTAAGTGGCTAAGTGGAGGAACCTTTCGTATGGTTCGTTCGAGGTCACTGAAGGGTCCGTTCCTACCTGAGATTTCGGGCAGACTTCGGGCTCAAGAGCCACATAGGGCTCTTGCCACCTGGAAATCAAGGAATGGCAAGGAGGACATGTTGGATTCACACCACCACCTGTTAGGGCCAAACGTTCCTGTCGAGGAGACGTGTATTGGAGGTCGGGTGCTGGTATGAGATGTTCAGTAGGGTTGTTGTGAAAAGCTTCCTTGTGAGAAGGTTAGTATGAACATTATAAGTTTAATATGTAGGCTTACAACCCCATGAAGCAAACAATCCTACAGTCATAGAAGGCACCCGATGATACCATACGTGCATACATACAGTCATACCCAAACCAAATCTACCAACCCATCCCTACCAACCAAACGTCCGGTCATGGATCTTCCCTCAATCCGTCACTGGGGGTGCTGAATGAGATGCAGTGGCGTCAGGATTTGCGAGGATCACAGCTTTGACTTCGTGGGGAAGGGCCGCTGTCTGGCCGCCGCTCGGAGACAAAGGTCGACGAATCGTCTGATGGGGTCGCAGACGTCTGACGGGATGGGTTTCTGACTGCCGGTTTGGGTTGGGAAGCGTTGTTCATGTTACAGTTACGGTTCATGGAAGAAAGACACCAGCTCAGAAAGAGACAAACACTGTGTAAATGTGAGACTCAAGTTGATATTTTTTTGGTGAATCCTTCCTTGCTGGTTCATTTGGGCCCGGCGTTGCACCGGGTGTTCAGGTTTCGGGTGTTTAGGTTTTCGACATCCGATCTGCCCATCCAAGGTATACGAAGCTAATTACGAAGGTTCAGTGACTTGCGAAGGTACAAGTTCATGGATTGCCCAACAAATGCTCCAGCAGTCACAAAGGGGGGGGTGCCCAGAACATCCACTCACTGGATGGGACTAAAAACCACCCCTTCTCGTGACTCCTGGCTGTTTTTTTTCCATGCATGATGTTTAACGTTTTTTCGTTGCCGGTTGGATGCTTGTGTTTCATGACAGACGACTATATGCATGCGATTGGTGTCGGGGGCTTGTCGGGTAAATGGAAGAAGACGCTTCCAACCGTTGTAAACCAGGAGTTACCAGGGAGTGTTTGGGGCACTCAAACACATCCGAACTGCGAAGGCATGAGTTGTTTGATTGACTGGCCAAGCAATCGTGGGGTGGGCAGCTACATGTTCGATTCACCCTGCCTCTATTCAAGATGGATGTGGAAACTCCCCCGTTCTGTTGGTCTTCCGAGCTCATCGGGGCCATGCGACTTACAAGCAACATAATCATATTGTATCCAACACTCAAGAATCAAACAGAAAAGCACAACATAATAGCAATGGCCTCCAGCCTAATAGCAATGGCCTCCAACCTGTGAAACATGTTGGAGTCCCTCCTGTGCTTTGACCATGTTGATTCCCATTTAGAATCTACCACGCCCACGTGCGGCATCGCCCACGTGCCGCGGCACGCCGAGGAAGAGGCCGATGGGCGACTGGTGCCAGCACCCTATCGAAAAGGTCGGGGATGGGAGTTTGGCAGTTTTGCACGGCAGATGTGGAGGACACTGATGTGTTGGGAAGATAACTTCTTTCCGAGGATGTGGAGGGTCAAAAATTCCAAGCTTCTCAGAAATCATAGATGACAAATTACATTGACAGGTTGGGTTTTTAACTATCATCATGATCATTATGTTCTCTAGTTGGATGGCTAATGACATCGAATCTACTGACCTTCGTCCTAGAAGGTTTGCACTTTCACGAACTATCCAACCAATAAAATGTGCTGACATTTCCTATTTGACGGATTCATTGATGGATGTGTTTGATGGATTGACGTGTGTATGGATGTTTAGATTTTATGTGTTTGTATGTTATTTCACACTCAAAGTCTACCACCTGCTTTGCAATCGCCTCTAAGATCTCTAAGGGCAAAGTTATTTTGATATATATTTGGACGATCATGCGAATCGAGAAGTTCTGCCTGGTCTCCCACGGGCTGGAAAACATGCTTTGCCACAAAGCTGCTGCTTGTTGTTTGCCTCCTCAATTCAAGATCCGATGCAGGCAGTGTTGAAACCACGGACACCTGCTGTCGCTTAGTGATGGGCTCAGTGTAGAAATCCTGGGAGCCGCACACGTGACGCGCGCTGCGGGTTGAGGTGTTCAGTTTCTCGGATCAAGATCAGACACAAATTTGAGACATAGCGCCTAACTTGTTTGCAGGTTCTTGAATCTGGAATGAATAATGATTTTTGTTTCTCACGTGAAACAAAACACAATAAAAAGCAAGACATGATCTATTTGCAGCTTCCGATTTCAATATATTTCAATCATGATATGAAACATGAAGTATTGAACTAATGAACGCTGTCTCCGCGAGCCACTCTCTGAGGAGTGCAATTTGATGTCCATTTGCAAGGGGTGCTCCTGCCGGGATAGGTTCTGTTCATTCTGTTCGAGTTCGTTGGATTCACAGGTAAAGTGAAGAGAGAAAAAGAAGCAAGCTGTGTTAGCATGGAGCGCAATAATCAACAGCAATCAGATAGGAATTAGAACTGAAACAGACAGGAGAGTTTATGCATCGATTGGATTAAACTCAGAATGTTGCTGGTGTGGTTATTTTGATCTTTGCTGCCATAAATCCCAGTCTGGCACAATTTGTATCAATTTGCCAACGCCGCAGTTTGTGGCTCCATATATAATCCAGTTTGGAATTTGAGAACTTCATCTTGTCGCCCCTTGTATGTTTCTATCTACGTTCCCTTTGGACATGCGGACGTCGATTGGTCGATCCTTTATCTTCGCTGATGCATCGGTACCTTCGCTGGTGCAAGGCACCCGTGGTGGAGAGTGGCACTCCATAGAACCCATGGAACCGTCGGCCCTCCGTGGGCCGCGTGGAGGATCAAAGGATTGACTTTGAGTTCACAGGATCTGAGAGTGGTTGGAAGATATTAGCAATTTGAGGCCAAAAGAGGAACATAGTTCCTGCTCAAAAGTGGTAAAACAAATTAAAGCAACATATGTTCCAAAGGTTCGTCACTGCGGCGCTTCTGTGCGAGTATTGAGTGCAAGATCGCTTAGAAGTGAACTTGAAGTGAACTGGTGACATGCGCCAGGTATTCCTTCCATGTTGAGAAGGAGACCTTGAACTGGCACGGGGGACAAGAGATAGCAGGCCCCGGAAAGCACTGGCCTTCCAAGACCAGTAAATGAAAGGCCGACCGCATTTTGTAGTCTAGAATCCTTAGTACAACAAGTTTAAATCAGTACGTTGTCCGATGTTGTTCGGAAAACTTGAAATCAGTGGGCCCCAAGCTCGTGGGGCAGATGTTGATCTGTTTCTTACCTGAGTCATTGCCAATCCGCACTGGGCCGTACCTGGGCCGGCCGCGCTCGGTCCGTTGTGCCGCACTCGTCGTCCGTTGTATCCGGTTCAAACCTCGAGAGAGGCTCCCGAAGAGGCGAGTCACGACTTGGGACTGGAAGCAAACGTCGCTAGGCTGCTAGATCACGACCTGATGTAGCCCAGTAAACCAGTTATTGTTTATCATGTCGGCCAACCTCACCATCATCATCTGGTACTGGGATCTACCCAAGCTAGATCTCAAGTTTGGGTGACATTCAGCGTCCACCGATCCTTTTTTCTCTCGCTTATTATTCCACGTGACGACCAGGGGGTGTTGGGTCGTTTGGGTGATGGATCTCTCGTCGTTCGATCGCATTGCGTCAGGCACTTGCTACTTGATGACTCCAGATTTGTCTCGAGGTCGGGTGAGTTCCATCGTGCCATCGTGCCATGGAGAGCGGAATTGACATGCATGGACAAGAAGTGATTTCTTCGGTTGAACAGATGTTGAAATACAGGGGTCAATGTATAACCAGTCCCAAACAGGTCGTGGACACAGTCGTTGACATGACTGAGATCTGCTTTGAACCCCTTCGATCGTCCGATCGTGCGGTACCTCTTCGGGAGTTAGATGTAGTGCCTCATGTGCCTCTCAGATGCTCTCCAAGCAAATTTGGAACTGATTTAGATGGAAACCCAAAGAAGAACATATCAATGGGTGCTTCCAATTATATTCCAATATATTAAAATATATTGGCTCCAGCTTGAGATCCTTTACATGTAAGGAAGGGTTCTGGGACTGGAAAACGAAGCATTCAGAACGGTTTCTGGGACTGGGACTGTCCGGACTCCCGCTGGCCAAGTCGGTCGGAACCTGAGTCGACAGTGGTGACACAGGGGTCACAGGCGATCACCGCCGTTTCCACGGACACTGAAACTGAACGCGGTGGTTATCCAGCCTCGATCCGTTCGACCCCAAAAATTGTGCAGGCCTTGATCAACTGCAGGGCTTGATCGACTGGGGGGCCTTGGCCCTTGGAAAGATCTTTGTTGGAGATGTAGAGACTCCCCCAGGATTGCTTTATATAATTAAAACCAAAAAAACACTCGTCATGCACATCTGCAGTGTTTCTCCGATGAGGTGCAGTGTCTCCTGGAACGACCGGGTCCCCAACGGAACCCGCGCGCTTCCGCGCCGGATGCGGTGGGTTTGTTTGATACGTTGCGCCGGATGGGCGAGTGTAGAAGAACAGGTGCCCTCCCGTGGTGGATCCCCCAAGAAACCGTTTGTTTGGTATTCTCGTATTCGTTCGGGAGTACACCGTTCGATCGATTTCGCTCCCTTTTTGAAGATTCTGATCCGAAGTGTGGTGTTTCTGTCCCTATAAAAGAACCACTGACGGCATTTCTGGGAATGACCCGAAGCAGCATAAGCAGCGAAGCACGACGAAACCGCTGAGCAGCGAGCTCTGAACGGAGCATCAGCGAGCTCAGCGAACGTGGCGCCACGCAAACGTTGCCATACAGCTGCGTTTGTGTTGAAGCTGTCAAACTCCAGTTGGATACTAGATGATATGTGAGATCATTGAGGCTTCTACTCATTTTCTTGGATCATAGCCTGTGGGCCTATGATGATCCCTATAGTTTGCGGCTCACCTTCCTTTGACTTCTCAGCTTCATCCAACGCGCTTACGCGTCTCGGGTGCATCGTGTGTCTTCAGGGAGATCATCAAAGACTTGGCCAACGAGAATGCCACCGAGGCGGAGATCGTCCAGGCTGTCCAGGAAGAGGCGCCCAGCTCGGGAGAATGGATGGAGATGTGTCCCTTGCAGGTCAGGAACTGACCTCCTTTTGCTGGAGTACCTGGACCCTCTAGTTCATAATCTAGAAAATGATTGGGACATGACCCTATAAGGTACTTGGAGGGTTTAGGTTGGTGAAAAAAGAACACTACTCAATCAAGGAGGTCTTCAAGACCAAGTTTACTGGGTCAGACTGGACGTATGCAGGGTTTGATTGTAGGTTCAGTGGAAAACATTGGAAGTTGATGCAGATCTCTGACACTTTCCTATAGGTGTTCTGTAATTTTCTTTTGGTGCGTACGATTCGCCGTACGATGGTGGTAAGGAGGATGAAGATCCTGATGAGGAAGGTCTGTAACGGAGTGATTCCTATCCCAGACCATCCATGTATGGAATATGTAGCTACATTTTACCCGTATGAACATGACATAACATGACCCCCAGTGTAGATAACAAAATAGGTATAGCTACATATAGTCCCATTCGGATGTTCTGGGTATGGAAGCTGGATGACTGCTGTGGGTTGAAGGCCGCAGCTGGGCCGATCGGCGAGCCGCGGAGGGGATTGCTGTCAGAGTTTCTTGGTCAAAGGAAGGATCCACTAACAAAACAATTTGAACATACACTTTGCAAGCTCTGTTCTTTGTATTTGGATGGAACATACTACACTCTGACCCAGAATTCGTTCAACACTCTGACCCCCGAAAAAAGAAAACAGACGCGCGGGCACGGGAGACAGCGATCCTGGAATCCAGGCTCCTCGACGTTTGTGGTCGAAAGACAGCGTGCGCCGGGACGAGCAGTTCCACAAGCAGCTGAAGGAGTGTTGGAGTGACGACGTCCACAAGACAGCGTGCGCCCGTCGAAAGCAGTGCCGGCCCCTCTGAAGGGAAAGCCACTGCCACACAGGATCCGTTTGCGACTGTCATATGTACATACATATACTGGGGTGGTTCAATAGGGGTATTTGAAGTCGGGGGTCAATGAGGGGTTCCGGTGAGTCAGTGCACTGGGTGAACCACATTCTGGGGATGCAATGAGCAGTTTGGATTAGCCTAAATAGCTGGAATAGGTGGGCAGAAGTGTGGCTAGATTGGCTAGCGAGCGTAGGTCTTACATTTTCTACTGAGCACCTTTATTTCTTGGTCCAATGAACTCAATTCTGCGTACCTTTGGTTCCTGTGATTGTTCTCCGACTTTGATTTTTGTGCCAACATTGAACCGCCATCATTTGCCTTTTGGATCCTTTTGGTATCTTTTGGTAGAGTCTGGAGTCTGGCATTTATCCTACCATTCAAAAGCACACCCAGCAATAAAGGAATGCTATTGCAGGATACTGCAGGGATGATGCTCCGACGGCGACTGGAGGTATGGAGACTCATGTCTCGATGGTTGATCCTTGCAATATCTGCACGTTTCGAGTGCACATCGTACACCATACAATCACCAGTCCCTTTTCTTCTCAACATACAGTACTGATTTTTTCTTTGTTCATCCATGTTCTGATGTCATTCTCATCTTTTCCTCTTTTTTGCCTTTTCAAACAGAGAATCCGATTCTATGCCAATCACCCTCTTGTCGCCCGAGCGGCTCGCGCTGCTCCGCACAACTCAACGATCCCTCGACTCCGGTCGACGGACGAGGAAACGCTCGCTGACCGACAGATTCCGTCGCCTGAAAGCTCGCCCGGCGCGCTCCTGGCATTGCTACTAGGAACAAGAAGCTATGCGTACTATAACTATAACTATCTATAACTAGTAATTGCAGTGGTTTCAGAGTAGATGGCACAGACCCCATGATGTCCTTTAGATGGGGGTCCATATAAACCACCTCTTGGGGTCTGTGCAAACTACTCTCAATCCACTATATAGAGGCCTCTCAAAGCATCGGAGAATTGAGTGTAGGTTTTTGTTGCAACCTCGTCCTCTAGGGGATCGAACCTTGATCAATGATCAATGCGTGTTTGGTGTGTTTGGTTGGGCCATAGCACGCCGTAGCACTTGGAGATCCGGTCACATCTCCGAGTCGTTCGAGTTGACAAACAGCTCCTTTCGTGCCTATCCCATACCCAGACACAACCTGTTTGGGACTGCCAGTCCGAGAAAAGGCCGTTGGGGTGGACTGGGGGGTCAATTGCCAGTCCAGACCGTCCAGACCGATCGTTCGGGAAACCACCGGTCCTGGAAGCGGCGGGACCGGTCCGTCGGTGGTCTCTCTACTACCTTCTTTGCGGGAGACCGGTCCAGGAGATGTACAGGAGATGCAGCTCGCAGCGTCTCGGCGTCACCCCGGCGGTCTCGTGACTGGCGGTCGTTACGGATCACCGATGTCTCGGGATGAGGATGGTTCAGGGAAACCCCATACCCCTATAGACACTACTAGATACCCCCCTAGACACTACTATATAGATACCCTAGGGCTCCAACCATATCCTCAGAAGGTGGTTAGACCCCTCAATATATTCCTGGAAGAGTGCTCCATGGCAATACTCAGACTCTGCACATGGCTGACATTTGATGGGACTGGAGATCAGTTACATACTACATTTATAACCCATGAAAATGACCCATCCACGTACAAATGTGTATATATATATATATGTATATAGTATACATGCAGTGTATATAATTTATGTATATACATACCTAGAACCTGAGTGACCTCGATTTGGGATGACCAACCACCCCAAATTGATGATCTCTCTCTATTTACAACAAATATGTCTGGATTATCCTTTGAGTGATGTCAAGTAGTCCTATTCGATGCTGCTCTTCGGCCTCCAGAGGCCGTTGCGCGGCCCAGCGGGGTGGTTGAAAACCCTACCCAGTGGCATACTATGGTAACTGGATCCACTGGGCTAGGCTTCCAAGACCGTTTAAAAAATAGACAAAGGCAAAATGCGGTTGACCTGGTGTTGTAGTCTAAGGTTCTTCGGCAATGGTGCTTCGCTATAAGGCTATTACTGTAAATCAATGGTGCTTGGAAGCCGAGGGGAATAAAACACGCCATCAAACTCCTCAAACGTTTGGTCTCGCGCTTTGCGAATTGGGATGCGGAGATGATCTCATCCTGTTTCATCAAAATCCACTCCTCCGGGTTCGCTGGCAATGGTTCTGCAATTTGTTATAGCAGAATTCACAGAGGAACAACAGGATTTGCACGGACAGGGTGGGTTTCACATGCCACGAGTTCCATGGAGTTGGGTGGTTTAGCTTGTCCCATCCAGTGAAAGCATGAAGATCATGGTCACTTGCCATTCCTCCAAGCTCGGCACGGTATACCCCTGCAAAAAAATCCCATGGAACCTGAGAATTCACCCGTGACGAAGACTTTTGTCCTCTACAACCCCAGTGGTTTTGGGGTTCTATGTGGACCTCTGCAGGGAAGTCACTCCATGAAATCCTGGTCAGTGAAACTCCTCCGTCGTCATCGCAAAAGAGTTTGCCGCAAGACCTCATCGACCTCAGGACCTTCGACGTCGGTTCCATCACGCCACCGGGCTAGAGAACTTCGGAGATTTCTTCGACGCTGCGGGTGGCTGTTTTCGGTGCGGTTGGTTCGATCTTTTCTTCCCATTGGATAAGGGTGAATCCCCGGATGGGAACTCTTGCGGGTTTCGGGGGGGTTGAGGCACGATTTGGTGTCCCGGGTTCCGGCTTGAAGCACATCCACGTCTTCCGGTGATGGGTTGGTGGGTGTGATCGACGGTGAAGACTATGAGGTGTATATCGATCGACCATCTTCACTCCCTGGCTATCGAATTGTAGGGCAAATCTTCTCCAGGGCACTCAAGTTCTGGCATAGTACCCAGCTTTGACACTATAGACTGAAACTTGGCAGAGAGAAGGATTGATTCATGTGATGCAACAAAACACTTTGGGTGAAACAATCATGCTCCCTACTGCTATTGCATCCAATCAACACAAGTCCAAAGACCCAGCCAGTTTTTTGCCTCCTTGAGTAGTGTTTTTGTATGACCAACTCCAGTAAAATGATGAGGTCATTGAACTGTTGGGGGTGTATTGGCCCCTTGAGGAAATCAGGGTCACTAGCACGATTTGCAGGTCATAAGTTCCTGCATCCGCCCGTACCTCCTCAAGCACTGGAACAACGCTCTTGCAGTGCTTTTCGTGCTCTCATTCGGTGGGTGGTAAAGTGGTAAAGTGAGTACAGTACAGCCATGAACATGGCATTACCAGCCATGATCCTTTTGGATGCTTCCAAATCTGAGTGGCAACGCATGGCAAAGCTATTACTTTTTTCAGAGAGTCATTGAGGAGGGTAGCCATCAGTATCCACTCTTGATGCTGGGACAAACCCAAGAAGTAGCCACCTGGAGCAGAAATTTCAGAAATGGTGTAAATGTAACATCTATTCCAGTCCGCTTCTTTTGGGTCTGGGTTGGACAAAGTAAGGAACTCGCACTCACCATTCCAACGATCGAGAGTCTGCTCGGTTTCGCGTGTGGTTTTTTCACGCATGTGAGGCAGTGGGACCCGTCAGGCTCTCAGGGAGCGGTCGGTAGAGGTGTGGTGAAGGATACCTGATGATACCTGTATATTCCTGTAACATCCTGTAACTGTATATCTGGGTAATTGTGCTTGATTCACTAGTCATTCCCCAGCAAGTCACTTAAGAAAATTGCAAGTAATTATGTCCGAAGACAGTGTTAGTAGGTCAATGTCTCAGATTCGATGGATAGTGTGTGTTCAGATCGAAGGGGTGTTCCAATTTCTTTAGATCAGCCTCAGATCAGTGTCGGTCTCTCAAATCTTAAGAACGCCTCCACAAAACCATACCCAACTCCGAAGCTCGGCATCGCTCAGCCGATTGCAGCCCATTTTACATCGAATTCATGCGGGAGAACGTACTAAAGCGGAGTTTCAACTTCTCCGTGAGAAGACGCTGGGCCGCATACCATGTTGCCACAGCTGTGTTTTGATATGACCCCTTGCTTATTTCATCCTGCCTATTTGGACGACCTTCTAAACATTCCGATCAAACATGGATTCTTCTGAACAGTGTTTGTTTCGGCATGCGTCTAATCACCAGTGTATCGACATCAATCTCAGAGGAACTATGTTTTTGTTTTAAGTGAAACAACCATGGCAAGTTGTTCATGAGGAACTGCAGATTCACCTGTTTAGGTTGTAGCTCACACAACACACACAATTAGGTGCATTGACACAGCACATACATAAACGACCACAAGTCTCTAACCACATTTCCCAGATTTATTGGCTTTGGATGGGGCCGTTCTTTTTTCCAGGACTTCCGTCTAAGTCTCATCAACATGTGGGTGAGGCGGATTTCACTGGTCTCCAGGAGTGGGTGGAGTTGATTTCACAGCCAAGGAAGACATCGCCCATGCTGGGCAACTTGGCTGAAGCAGGTCCAGTGAGTTGTTTTGCGGAAACGGGTCCTATCAATATGCATAAATAGAATCTGGAGGGTTAGGCAGAGGCATGTATATATATATATATATTTAATATATATATATTTATATTAAATATATATATATATATATTATAGAGCTATAGTCTATAGTAATTAGTACCAAACACCTGATGGTCCTGCCCTATGCTTAATGGAAGAAGAACATCCAGCATTTCACCGCAGTGGTCGAGTCTCATCAGAATTCATGGCAGGGTGGAAAAAGGTAATTAGTTACGTACCCACTTGGAACACCCAACAACTAGATTGGCTGGAGATACCCCAAACGGCCATTTGTCTATAACAAATTCTGGTTGTTTGGGGTCCCTCGAAGAGAGGATAAGTTGAGCCCCACCAAGCATCCGGGGGTTTGCAAGTGAAATCTGGTGAAATCGAGGGATTCACAACGAGTTCCTTGTCGACACCAGCAAATCTTGGTGACAGTGCGAAACGCAGTGACAAACAAATGATTTTGAGTAAAAACAGCCAGTCATGTCAACCTGTTTGCACCAGTTCTTAAATTGTAGGCCTTCCTTCTCAGTGTTCAGTTGTGGGAATTTGTGCAAGGAGTCCAGACGCACAAAGACATTTGATGTTTACATTGACATGAACCATCCTCGGACCCTTTGCATGCTACAAGGAGATGGTCCACGCGCGTATGAAGGGCTTTGTCGTTTGAGTTCAACCTCAAAATCGGAGGTTCCTGATACTCACCAGATTGACTGCGAAGAGGATTTCCCAGAGGAAGACATGTAGGTTTGGTGGCCAATCACAAAGCACCAGCAATAGATTATGGCCAGATGAAGATGGCCAGGTGCTGCTGGTCTCAGACCGTAGACCTTCGCTCGCACACCTGCTGCGCACACCTGCAGGCGAAGATGGCCATGTGCCGCTGGCCACCAGCTGCAAATCCAAGCAGCTTGCCCAGGCGTGGCCGACCGGAGGAGAGAACTCCCTTTCCTGGGTAAATTATTTTCAGTGAAACAAGCAATCAAGCCAACAGTTCATAGGCACTTTAGTGTATTCCTAAGCAAAACAAACTGTTGGCAAACTAAGCAAGGGACTCTAGTTCTTGCAAGGAAGTGAAACAGTCTTCATAGGGACTCTAGTTTGGTCCTCCAATCAACTGCTTTGGGCCCCATCGACATCTAATTAAATTAATGGTGCACACAGCAACAGTTGAACCTGTCGCATGTGGCAAGAGCAAGTGTTCAACCGGTAGCCAGGTTAGTTTGTGAGAAATTCACTAAGAAATTCCCTAAGAGGTTCAACATCCGTTCATGTTGGGCCAGGTGTAGCTCAAATTATCTCAACTGATGCGAACGATTAAAGGTGTAGACTCCCCTTGCATTGTAACAGCACCTGACTCTGTTTGGCCAGAAGAGATCGAGAGGTACCAAAACATCACATACCCAAACCACAGAACGAAAAGACCATGGCCCCCTGCACCAGGCTTACCATGCTTGCCAGGAGTGTGCCGTCGGGGCAGTCGAGATTCAAGTCTTGATGTTGGGGTGTTCAACTGCCCAATGTTAATGAACAAGGTGTTCGTATTAATGTATAGTACTTTGATTTCGATAGAGTTTTTCATCCACAGATAGAGGCAACATTAATCCATCCACCCTCACAACGGTCTTTACAAGCAGTTTTGCTCATGTTCTTCACTTACTCGGAAGAAGACATGTGTGTCGCATTGGCATGGAGAAGCTTTTGGCAAGTTGGAACTGTCTTCCTGCAGGGACTCCAGTGTTTGATCCATCTCAACTTTTGTCGGAAAAGTGTTCGGTGGCTGTGACTGTTCGACTCACATGTTTGTTCACCTGTGGTTTCAGAGGTGGGATGGCACAGACCCCCAGATGTACTGAACAGATGGGGATTGTGCCATCTATATACTCTGAAACCAGGGTATAGACCCGAACCCTCCAGTTGAAGTGATGAGTATATTCATTGGTTGATTGATTTCACCTTGCCCGACTGTCTCAGGAATAAAGCGGCACTCAGACTCACGCAAGTGGCAGATGGTCTTTTGTCTATCACAGGGCGGCCCAGCAGCTGCCTTTTGCTTTGAAGATTCTTAATGGTGTTCTAGGACCTTTGAATCTGCTTTAAACAAAAACACATCTAGCTAGTAGGTTTTGATGTTACTCCATTTTTACAGGCTGTGCTGAAAAATATAACGTACATCTTTTACCCCCTGGACCTGTGGGGTTGGTTCTGAAAGAATCTTCCAGGAGAGTGGTGCACTCCCGCATTCTTCAGAGAAGGTGGTACAGCATCGTTGGGCGGAAGTGACTCTCTTCCAGTGACTTGACCTGTTAAAGTGGCTTTGGCCATTCCATGCCATTCCATGTTCACTACTTACTCCACTGTCTTCAGAACTCCGAGGATTCTTTCTGGTCCCGAGTTGCACGATATCAAATGTTAAACTCCTCCAACCAAGGAGCCAGCCAATCAACCAACCTCCAGTGAATGAAGGGCGGTTCACTTTCGCGCCGAGGAGGGCCAGGGATAGGCGTTTCACATCTCACTGTCAATTTAGAGTGTCTTTCAGAATAGGAAGACCGAAGACCTCAAAACAGGAAGACCGTGTCCCATCTTCAAAAGCTCACCTCGCTCGGTGGAAGACACCTGGCTTCGTCTCGTTTGCCGCTCCAAACACACCGAGTTCCCGAGCCAACGCTTCGGGAGGTGAACTGGTCGGAGCTCGCGTGCGAACGCTTCGCTTTCGTGGATGGTTCGATTCGCTCGCGCCCCCCGTTTCTTGGTTCGGAACTCGCTTTTGGCTTCGCAAACCAAGGGGTTCCGTCCGCAGACTTGTTCTCCATCCGTCGCCCACCTCTTGCTTCGTCCAGGTTTGTGTACTCCATGATCAACACTGGCATGGGCCTTTGCGTCTTGCCTCAAGAGGCAGATCGCCTCAACAACGCCGCGGGGAGCCTCTGGGCGTCTTGGCCAGAGATCGAGACGGGACGTCACTCTTCCGTCACCCCGTTTGGCGCACCGGTTTTTTGGGGTGGGGGTTCACCAGTGAACGCAGATGCAAGGCCTTCTTGACAGATCTCTGAATGATGGTTTTAGACTGTGTGGTCGAGACAATTGAAGAGTCCGTTGAAACCAATCATTTTGAAGCTTGAAGTGGTGGGGATGTGAGTAACATTGAGTAACTATGTGACCCCCCTCTAACCATTTTGCCAAGTCTCTCCCCACTTCGAATCTTCCCACTTAATAAATTGTTGGAGAAATGAGGCACGCCAAAGACGAACTGGCGGAATCCGTAGGACAGGAATGTCAGTCTGAAGGACTCCAAGGTTTGCAGAAAAATATTCTGAATACCTTATATATGAGAGACATGATGAAGGAGGAAGAGGCAGCTAACTATAGTCACGAAGTCCTGAAGGTGAAGGAGTTGTTCCTGTCGTATGGAATCGCATCTGGGTATTTGATTTTAAGGCTTACGCCTGACAGCCGGGCGCCGGCCCAACACAGGGCAAAAGTAGGACGGTAGAGGGGATAGAGGCAAAAGACACGTCGTTTCTCTCTGTCTTTCTTTCTTTCTTGCTTTCTTTCTTTCTGTGTCTTTGTCTGTGTCTGTCTCTGTCTGTCTCTGTCTCTGTCTCTGTCTCTGTCTGTCTCTGTCTCTGTCTCTCTCTGTCTGTCTCTGTCTCTGTCTCTGTCCCTGTCCCTGTCGCCGTCGCGGTCCGCGGTCGCTGTCTCTCTCTCTCTCTCTCTCTCTTTCTCTTTCTGACTGTGTGGGGCCTATGTTGCCACATCTTGAGGCTATCTTGGCCCATCTAGGGGCTATGTATCTGGGACCTACGTTGGGTCCTCTGGCGGGCCTTTGGCAGGTCATCTTGGGGCACATTTTCCGCTTTGATGTTGGATCCTGCCCGACACCCACGAAATGTTGATTAATCCCTGGTAAAACACAGTGTTTTGTGTACCTCAGCCGTTGCTGTTGGAGCGTGCCCGACACCCACGAAATGTCCATTAATCCTGTCCGCGCGGCGCGCATTACCGACACCACCCTTGAAAAACATAGTGTTTTTGCATTTCTCCATCTACGCC